GAACAGCATCATTTGATACCTTCACAGCAGCTCTTGGATAATGAGAGTTTAGAAGGAGAAATCCTGTCTTTTATTAAACCCAGCATAGCTGAGGGACAGGGTATCTCCCCACAGCTTTTGCCTATTCCGTTTTGGGCCAAGTAATGAAAATATTAATGCTGCTTAGCCAGCAGAGCATGAGCTAAATCAGCTTCTATCTCCCCCTAGCCTATAATTCTCTGGTCTGGTCTTCATGAAGAGCACTTAATGTTTCAGATCTAAGGTGAATACCCATGTAATCATCTCCGCACACACCTCTTTATGAGCAGTAAGGACGCTACTCCAGGCGGCACCGAGGAGTGCACAGTTCCCCTCCCGGGCACCAGGAGGACAGGCACGTGTACCTGCGAGGTGAGGGTGTAAAAGCAAGTCCAAGAAGCGACACGCGGGTTCACCCTCACGCTGTGGATAAGCCAGTCGTGAGGACACATCTGTTTGCTGGCTGCACAGTATGGAAGTTACACCCAAGCCCAGTGCCTGCTGTAAATAAATGTTCATGCAGCACGGGCTTTGGGGACAGAAGGGGCACAGTGGCAGCGCTGGCCACGAACAGAGGCAATGTCAAGCAAAGTTCAAGAGCTGCCGGAGATGCGAGGAGATGCTATGTGAGGTGCCACTGAGTCCCAGGGAGGCCACCACATGCCAAATTCTCCGTATAATGCTAACAAAGGTGTCCTCTAGGGCAGTCCTATGCCACTGCTTTAGTCCAGGGACTGATTTCCTACTCTACAAAATAAGCTCTTACCTCCTGGTGTTGAGTCCTCCATATTTTTTCATTCACATTCAGCATATACTTGTAAAATTTTCCTTCATCCTTGATCCCTTCAGCCCACATAATAATACAGGTGACTGAGAACAGTAAGCCACTGACTCAATTTTGCATTTTTATTACATTTGGGAGAAAGTCTGCTGCAATAATCTCGTTCTAGGTCATCAGCACTCCCACACTTTAGTATATTTTCTGGATAAAGCCCGTGCAGACAAATTAGCAGGATGGTATATCACATAGTTCTTGGTCTTTATGGTTCATTCTCCCACTTAACTCACATCTGGTGTCAGCTGCCAGGTTCCTAGATCAGGAGAAGTTAATTCATATATGTCTATTGTACCAGGATAGATGGCTTCACAACTGAAGTCACAGCATCAGAACAGCCCAAAGATGTAGAACCAAGGTTTCAAAATTAAAAAAAAAAAAAAAAAAAAATCAGAAAGGCCAGCAGAGAGTAGTTGATCTTGCCACATCTCAGGGCTTTGAAATACCCTATTTAAAGTTCCACTCCCGACACTGACAGTCCAAAGAAGCTCCAAGAAAGGTATGCAGCAGATTTTTGCTCCGAATGCTACCAATTTTACATTTGCTGAGCAAAAACCATATGTCTATTTGTGTGCATTTCTGCAACTGAACTTTTCATTCATTAAGATGAGAAATTGCTTCTTTTATGCAATCTGCTACTATTCAGATAGCAAAACACTGTGATGTCTGGTAGCAGGCTTGCTGTTTTTGGCTTTAGGATGGTTTTGGGTTTTTTTCCCCTCTTCCTGTGAGAGGAAAGCTTTTCCCAAAGGATTTAAGCAATTTCATAAAACAAATGTAAAAACAAAGACACTTTTGTTTAAGGACTGAAGGTTTTGTTTTGTTTTAAGGGGGATGGAGAGGGAAGGAAGACAGAAATTACACTGATCATCTTTCAATAAAACAGGAAAAATAAAAAAAAAAAAAAGGAGATATCTCATTCCTAAAATAGAAACTTTGTGATAGCACAAACTTCCTTTAATAAATAGGCCATCAGAAAAAAAAAAAACAACACCACAGTTATGATTTTTTTTTCTAACTGCACAAATTTGTTTATTACCATCACAGGTGAACACCTCAAACCATTATAGCAAATATCAGAAAAAACATTTTCTCTCCAAATCCAAGCACTTACATTGTGCATTCCTATATGCTGTGCTTCATTACAGTCAACTTCTTTTCCTCACAGTCTATCAAACAGGAAGAAAGAGGGGGTTAAAAAAAAATATGCCTGAAATGTATGGCTATACACAATGGTTGGGGAAATTCACTTCTGAAGCTCAAGCTATAATGCATCATTTCATTTACTGAAACTGTTATAGTTTTACTGTTGTAGTCCAGTACTATAACAGGGGAAAGCCCCTGAACTTGCACAGCAAACATTGCAAGATGGGGACAACAAAGTAACAATAAATAAAGGGAAAACTAATGAAAACATCTGAAATCCTTCAGCAAAGCTTGTCTGGAGGTCTTGCAGGAAATCTGAGTGAGCAGACCTGGTCATCTGCAAATGGCCTCCAAGCATTTATACAAACGCATTACCGAAATCTCACGTGTTGCAGAACTAGGATTCTATTTTCTGATTTGCAGATATTAATTAATGGAATTAACTGATTTATCAGTAAGTCGCTACATATTGGATCAAGTTTTATTATGTAGAAAGAAGTCTAACAGCCACAAGTCGTCTTCAGTGAGAAAGTAACTTCCATCCAAATGGAGCAAAAGCTACCCAGGAAGTCCCATTCACACTGCCTAACATTTAAATTCATTCAGGATTGTCACACTCTGCAATTATCATTCAACATCCCAAACTAACACACTGGGAGAACTCAACAGTAATATACTTCAGTAATATTACAGCTCAGAAAGGCAAAACACAGATAATAACAATCTTGCCATTAAATACAACATGCAAGTGAAATCTATCACATTTTAACTACCTGTACTTACATGACTAATTTACAAATGTTAGTATTAAATTTGAATTTTTCTAAATGTAATCTTGAAGTACATGCATGCAGGGAAAGTGACAAGATGTTCTTAGTTAAGATATTAGAAAGCTGGTCTAAAACCACTGGAGGTAGACAAGAAGAGAAACAATGTTGCTGTGATCTATTTGACAGACTGTTTCTTTTATATATATATAAAAAGAAAGTACGAATAAAACGCATATTATCATCACCATCTCAAAAGTACGCTACTGAACCATTACTTAAGCAATTCTCCTTCATCCTAGTTTAAGCTGCCTATATCTATATATGCACGTGAGAAACAGTTTTGTTTCTAGTGGGCCCCTGACCTCCCAACAGTAACATGCACAGATTAACTTGTCAAATAGAGAAAGACAACATACAAAGGTCATTACAAATCCAAAGGTCTGGGTCCACTCAGGAATTCGGGTAGTTATTTAAAATAGATTCTTCTAATACTGTGTGGAGGTACTGGACAAAGAGGCAGACCCTGTTACCAATGGTTCTTTCGCAACAGGACACTCTTAGCTCCTACCTGCACAAAACCCCACCATGTGGAAATCTGAAAGTTAAACCACTGGAAGGCTGCAGAACAACCTTTCTTTCCCCATTCTTCTGTCTATAACTCTTGGTTTCCTTTGCTTTGTTTTTGAACTATGCAAGACACTGTGTAGTTTAACAATACTCACATCCAAAACGTTCTCCTGCAGTTTACTCTAGGGTTCTGCTTTGTTCCTTCCCTACTGTAACCTCTATTCATTCAGAATATGCTTTCCTAAACAGTGCAACCCCAACCAGCGAATAGATATCCCAGTTACATCACAGCAATAAATAAAACATGAGCTTTCCAGTTTAATTTGGACACAAGTTAATGTGCATACTGAGTTCACGCGTAACATATAAGAATTTCTCCTTCATTTCTCTGTTCACCAGTTTGTTCATTCACAGTCTTTCCACAATTCTCATTTTCTCAATCCCATTTTCTCTTGTATTCTTTCACGTGTGCATGGTCCCGGTTTTACCTCCACCTCTTACACCACTTGCTCCTTGCTCCAATCCATTTTTCCGCTTCCCAGTCTGACCACGCTCACCACAAACACACAGTTCCTTCACCTATTAACAAGGAGGATATTCCTTTCCACCTGCTTGAGCTGCAGACAGTACTGGATGCTGCTGTTATCTTCCCTGTCCAATAAAGCCTCGAAACATTTCCTCCCATTTCTTAATGCAGACTTTTCCAAGACCTCAAATTGTAACAGGAAATTATTCAAGTGATTTTGTTTTTAAAGAACACAGCAAAGCATCAGGAGACAAATGCTCTGCTCTCTGATTTGCTAGAGGTTGTTTGAATTTAGGTTGAATCTCTCCTTTGTAAATCCAAAATAAAACTTTTTCACCTCATCCATTAATATTTGGAACCTGAAGGCTGTCAAGTAAAAGATGCTATGCAAATGCAAAGCGTACTCCTAGTCTCATCTTTTTTAATGATACACCCAACACTCATATAAAAGATCAATAGGAACAAATGAAAAAAATCACAATAAGTGAATAGCCTAACAATACATGCTAAAAGCTACCAAGACAATAAATTCCATTTTCCCTGGGATCATTAAATTATTCTTCTGATGGCTCAACACAATCTCTTCATGTTTATTTCCTATGGGGGATGCTGACACACTGAGCTCATTACACAGCTCCTCTTTAAAGAAAAAACACATGCATTTAAAGCAAACACCTAAAATTCAATAGTTCAGAGTTTTAATAAACTATGCAGGAAAGGAGTTTGCAACTGGATGATTTCTAAGGAAGACACCTGCCTTATAAATCCAAAACAAGTAGACATAAAGCAGTATCAAGACATCAGTCTTGCTGTGAGATACACATAAAACACCTGCTTTTTTTTTTTTTTTTTCCAATAATTCTTCTCAAGATATGTCCACACAGATGACATACATTCTTCAAAAAGGAATTTGGAAGAGTCATCTCAAAACTGTCAGAAGTTTGACTGGGCATACAAAGCCCAGCTACAGGAGAGCTTATAAATGGCCAGACCTTGATGCTATAGCAAAGATCAAATTAAGTCAACATGGTGTAGCCTTCAAACCACATACACCATCATTACACTTTCTGTGAGGCACACGCCAAGGAGGACAAGCCTTCAACAGTTACTAGATAAAGTGAACTGGTGTATCTCATACCTCAAGGTGTTCCCAGCGGTTGGGTTGCGTTGGCCTCGGTACAACTCGGCACCAGCGCCTGGGTCAGGTACTACACCTGCAAAACGAAGCCACAGACACGCGCACGTCCTCTCGGGCAGGAGCCCCCACCCCGGGTGGGGTTCAGCAGCCCCGCAACTTCACCCACCATGAAAGGCTCTGCCCGAGCCTCCCCCCCCCCCCCAGGCAATGCCTCCCCACTGCTGTTCCCAGGAGCACAGTCCTCAAACAGGAGGACGCAGCCAGTGCCACCGAGCCCTCCTAAAACCAGAGAGCATGAACTCAGACAGAGGATAGATACAGGCACATGCTCAACAGGACAGAGTAATCCCTTTACTTATTTATGGGTTCAGGTCAGCTATCCTGACCTCTAGCTTGCACATCCATTTATGCATTTTCTGTCCCACGCATATTAATTTGTGGTTATCTTTAATATTTCATGAGTTATACTTGATCCCACTCCATTATACTCTAAAAAGAGAAGAAAAAGCAGCGGCTAGTAATGCCACAGATGGGGATTTTTACTTGTTATAAATTCCATTCACCATCAAGTGACCAGACAACACATACTCCCCCAAAAGAATCATTTCTGCTCATCACTCCTCCTACACTGAAGTGTATTCTATTTTTGTTGATTAGCAGTGAAGACAAAAGCAAAAAATATATGGTAGCTTGAGTTACCTGAACTGCGAACTTAAACATAAACTGGGACTTAAGAGATATACAGCTGGGCATCTAAAATCTGACAGTTAGGGCACTCATTCTGAATTCCCCAAGTACAATATTCTAACATTCATTCAACAAGCCATCAAATCATTCTCCTGCATGTTAAGTTTTTAACCCAAAATTACATAGGAGCTTTCAGTTTATGACCCTTCCTCTTCTCCAAGAATTTGTCCCTGGGGATTTATAAGTAGATGCTATCTCCCCTCTCTGCCATTACTAAACTACAAAAGGCAGCGTAGCTTAAGTTTTGGTCTCATCTAACTCCAGAATGTACACGCCCCGTCATCTCTGTAGTCTGGATGTCCCTGTACATGTTCCACTAGAATTTAATATTTTCCGTACACAAGTGAGCAGAACTATGTACAGTATTTGACATGAAGTCTCCCTAATGCCTTGCACAATAACTTGCCTATCTGCACTGAAAATCTCCCACCGAGGATCACATTTGCTTTCATTTCATGCTCACCATCAAATAGACTCATCCCTGTTTGACAACGGTATTCAGGCCTTTTCCTCCAGGCCTGTTTTAAGGGATGACCTGCCAACTGATAGCAGATGTGTTGTTAATAATCGCTCAGTAGATAACTTCACTTTTAGAGCTATTTAACTTCCTCTCATTCCTATTGCTTCAGTCATCACAGGCATTCAGTTTTTCCTGTGCAATAATCCAACCCCGCTCGGTGCTAAGTGTCCTAACTTTGCCTCATCAACAGCCATCCTTTGCATAGAATTACCTCAGCCAGTACTGTGAAGCAAAAAGACCAGCCCCCCACTAATACCGGTCCATAGCAATAATTCATTTATTCATGCAGCCAAAGTAAAAACTTCTCCCTCAGGTTGCTCTCCCAAGCTACCTCACCATTCTTTAGCCAAGCCTCATAATTTCAAGTTAGTCATGTTACGGTGTCGTGCCATGGTGTACGCACATCCAGCTGAAGCCTTCTGCTCCATTTGTCTAGGACACTCAACATTTAACCAGTAATAATATGACTTTAGTCTTCCGTGACCTAATTGTGGCAAATCCATGATGCATTTTATCCTGTTTTCCACTTATCTTTGTATACTTAATTACTTTTTCCACTTCAAATTTGTTCTAAATCCTTGAATACTACTAAAATCAGAGTAAAACATGTGAACAGATTTCATTCTCTTCTCCTTTTAAAATAAATTCAAGTATACCTCTTTGGCTATACTGTTATCAACTGCTACACTCAACTTAACAGACAACAACTGATTCTTTTTCTTTTTTTTTTTTTTAACCTGGATCCAGTGTTCTGCGCCAACTCTTTTAGACCCCTTAAAGCAGAGAGTCTTTGCTTCCTTAGTTTGACTGACTTAAATCTGAAAGCAGGCGTAAGACATTTATTCTGGTCATTTCTGTTCGGCACACTATCTTTCTCCCATATTCAAATCCTCATCCCTAACTAAAACTGGTTACAACCGCTAATTTTGGAGGCATTAGACATATTTTTCAACTATAACCTGGTTTTCACAACATCATAGCCAAGTTATCTTCTCTTTTTATTTTTTTCCTCTTCATCTTAAGTTTCTCCATGCTCTAGCTTTTGGCAATTCATGTGCTATCCCTGCAGTTTCTGCTCTCTGATGATCAATCTCCTCCTTTGCTTCATTCCTTGCAGGTTTTCCGGTAATTTGCAGTATCTTATTCTCCCAGCAAGGTCTACAGTCCCACTTGGCAAGCTTCTCCTCCTCCTTAAAATGCAGTTTCCAAGCAGCTGTTGTACCTTTCATTTAAGACAGTCCAAGCCTTTTCTTCTTTTTAATAAACCTCTAACTCCTACATGTCTTCAGCCATGTAGACTTCAGAAACTAGTTACTCTAACTTCTCAGAACACGTCCGGCTAAAATAAAACTTCCTTGAAATAAAAACAGTTTGTAGCTGACACATACTTATCCTTCAGTTTAATTGAAAATTATTAACTTGTGGCTAATCAACACATGTGCTTAAGGCCTTGTGGAACGGAGCCGTAATCTAGCAGTGGAAAGCAAGACCCAGTGTCAGCCACGGAGAAGCCAGAGACATTCCTTACCCAGGGTTCAAAGATACTTGTTCTAGTTCTGGGGAGACTGTAAACATGAGCCATCACTTACTCTGCATTCCACAACAATTAATGGCAAAAATCTATCCTATGATATTGCAGTGTAGGGATTTCCAATCTAACTGCGTCACCCCTGGGAAACATACTTAAAAAATCATGTTTGAGAAACATCTTCCTTTTATATGCTAGCACCGCATCTCAAACGCGCTCTGTAGCTCTGAGCAACCAGAAGACGTTTGTGAGGCTACGTTCTATGACTTGACTCTGTTTCGTCTCACTAAATCAACATTAGCCCTCCAGATTTTGGAGCGTAACCCAAACCTTTAACAGAAAGCCGCCTCCTGTCCCCTAGAAGACTGCGCCCGTATTAATCACCTCCAGCAGCAATTTGAGATCTGATGTCTCCAGGTTGTGCATCACAAGCCTGCGAGCAGGGAAGGAGGGAGCTGATGTCAAAGTGCGGCAGCAGAACACAACGAACCACCCTGGCAAAGCGACAGCGAACAGTCTCCAGATGAATCTGGAAAGCACCGTTTCCCTCTTAACTTTAGGTTGTGATACAATTTTCTTAGCACGGACGCACTGGCACGAGGGCAGTCTGGGCCTCCTGTACAACAGAGTGAACTTGCTGGCCCAGGCTATCAGTTCCATCGAGGCAGTAAATCACACTAACCACCACATTCCTGGTATACCTGCAGCTACGCTGCGGCACACAGGCACCTTGCCTGCTACCTCCTGCCCAAAGAGGCTGAAACCCACAGAGGGGGAGACTCAGTACCGCAGCACGAAATATCAACCGACATCCCAAATTACTAACCCAGATAAAACGGGGGCCCTGGCAGGGCAGGCAGCTCTGTCAGCTCCAACAGCCCCACGTCGTGGCGAGGGCTGCCCGCCCTCTCTGAAGGACTGATGGTGGTCCCTGCACCCCCTTCCCCGGCCACCACCAGGTCCATCTCCCCAGGCAGCTCAGTCACACTGCTGGTGCCTCCTGCTCCCACGACCAGTCTCACGAGTTCTCGAGCTTTTGGAGAAGCGGAGTGTTCAGCCACCCCCTAATCTGAGGAGCACGGCACTGGACACTTCGAAAAGGGAATTAATTGTGTTAGTTGCACATGAGGATGTAACGTGCCACCTTTTATTCCAGAAGTGCTTAAAGGTGCTTTATCTTGTTAATTCTAGGTCAGTTGAGCGCACGTGTGGTATGGATTACACTGACCCTTTTAGAGCTCCCAACATTTTTAAGTAAGTAGGACACTTCACATTAGATACAAGCCAAGCTGTGCACCCCTATACACCAGCCCCAAGATCAGCCAGCAGGCTTTATAGGCAGAACCAAGGACAAGTTGCTTTATAAAGCATGGCTCCTATGGCACATAAGTACAAATGTGAAATAAATTATAAATGCCAAATCTGACCCAGTATCATATTAAATCAATACAGGTGTTTTACAAAAAAAAAAAAAAAAAAAGTTGAAGTGACATTTGCAAAGCCAGCCAACAAATCAGGGGCAGATTTACAAACAGAGCCCGTATTTACAGCCCAGTGACAAAAAGATCTACATTAGACAGAAAGTTATCTTGCTGCTGACAAAACACAGTAGCCTTGTCACTTTAAGCACAAAGAGACGTTTAATCCTTAAGTATCCAAACACAGTAACTGAAGACTTCAAATACAAGCAAGGATCAACATGCAAATGACTGTAAAATTCAAGTTTAAAAATGTTAATACTACGCTTCGCTGGAGATGTTAATTTGCCAGTCCCAGGTCTGTGAAAGTTTTAACCTTATTCTGTCCCCTATGAGCTGCCATATATATTGGACCCTAAGACACAAGTAATTCCATTTCTTTCCCTTCTTTTCAAAGATGCCTTGTCTGAGCGAGGGGAAAAAAAAAACAAAAAAACAAACAAAAAAAAAAAACACCAACATATTTAAGTAAATTACCTCTCGGATAAGCCTCCCTCCCTTCTCCAGCTAAAGTTTTCTTTAGGTCAGATTAGCACTTTGAAACACAACCAGGCGCCGGCAGGCCCAGCTTCAGGCAGTGCTGTGACAGATGCGGGGCAGACCCCGAGCAGGGGGGGCGGCCGTGTGCTCAGCCCCCCCCGAGAGGGGCAGCCCGGGGAGCGAGTTCCCACTTCGCACCGACTCGGGAGTTCAACAGCTCCCGCTTCCAGCAGCGGCTTTCTCCAGGGCCATGTGTTTTCCCCTGACATTAGCGAGGAATTTCAGAGGAGCCAAACCGCCCTGCCAGCCCCGCCGGGGACCCGCTCGCAGGCTGAGGGGGGGGGGGGGGGGGGGGGGGCCGGAACCGCCGCCCCCAGAGGCGGGGGACGAAACCGGCTCGGCCCCGCTTCCGCGCGGGGAACCCACCCGCGGCACCTACCCCCACGGCGGCTGCTCTCCGCCACCGGAGGGAGCCGCCCGCCCCGCCGACCCCCCCCCCCGAGCAGGGCACGGCTCGGGCAGGGCAGGACGGCTCCTGCCGCAGCGCCCGGCGGGGACGAGCCCCCCCCCCCCCCCCGCCCGTCCCCGGGGCAGCGCGGCGCCGCCAGCCCCGCACCCCCGCCCACGCCGCCGGCCCCCTCGCCAGACGCCCGCCGGGGCTCGGCCGTGGAAGGGGGTGGAGGGGGTCCCGCCCGCTGCCGCCCCCAGCAAGCGGGGGGCGAACCCGCTGAGGGACGGCGCCGCGTTCAGCGGCCCGGCGCCTCGCCGCCGCCCTTACCGTCCTCGGAGCCTCCCGGAGAGGAGCGAGGCGAAGCGGCGGCGGCGAGAAGAGAAGAGGAGGGAACCGGGGCCGAGCAAACCGCCGCCGCGAGGTGGTGGAGGAGGAGGAGGAGGAGGAGGAGGAGGAGGAGGAGAGGGCGGGGGATCGGCGGCGGAGGGGAGGAGACGGTGGGCGGGGGAGCCCAGCGGCTGGCAGCCGCCCGCCCGCCCGCCGCGCGGCCGGCGCTTCCTCCCCACACGCCGCCGGGCCGGGCCGGGCCGGGCCGGGCCGTGCGTGGGGGCCGCGGCGTGGGGGCCGCCCAGCCCGGCTGGCGGGGCGGGGAGCCCCGGGGGGGCTGGATCGCCCCTTCCCCTGCCCGCCCCCGCGCAAAGGGGACCCGCCGCTGCCGCCCTTTGTTCGGCCGAGCGGCGCCCGGGAGGGGAGGGGAGGGGAGGGCGGCGGGGGGGCAAGCTGGGCGCTGCTCCTGCCCCAAAATTGTTCCTGGCAGGCACGGTGTCACTTCGCTGAAGTGAATTTGGGGTCTGTGATGAAAACCCCCCTCCACCTGTGCCAAATGCTCGGCATCCGGCGTTGAAGTCAGCCCACACGCTGCTTCAGCTGCCTGTTCGTGCCTCCGGAGCCGACCGGGGACTCCTGTTCTATTAAGGCTGATTTGGTTTTGTTTGGCCTTCTTCTTATTATTTTTTTTTTATTATTGCAGAGGGTAGATGGGATCGTGAAGACTGTTTGCTTAGCATTTTGCACTTGGCAGCCGTCAAAACCTATTAAAAAATGAATTTCAGATACACCTGTATCCCATTGTCTGGGGTGGTTCACAGATTTTCTTTCAAACGTTGCCACTTATTCACCTATCGATCTACACACCCAGTTGCTCGCTGATCATTAAAGTACCTTCTGAAAGCACCTTTTTTTTTTTTTCTTCTTTTTTTTTTGCCGTGGTACTGCATTGCTCATCCCATAAACCTCCTCCAGCCTTCCTGATTTCAGTTCTTCATTTCAGGTACTTGAGTCAATGCATGCAACCCTGTCACGCCAGTTAAAATAGTAGAAAAGGGAGACGTTCTGCTCATTCACATCGTGCTTCGAAGAGATTGACAGACTTACAAACGCTCTTGTATGAGGTTTTCTCTGAAGACTTCAGTCACTTGTATAGAGGTGGAATGAGCAAAATGACTCAGCCTACAGCACCCTCTCTCTACAAGTGATCCTTTAAAAAGGCAGTAACATAACTAGACTGTCCTAAGGTTGTTAACACTAGGCAAAAAGTGAGAAGCTCTCTGACTGAGCAGCCTCCCTGAAAAGCTCTCTTCCCCCTTAATGTTCATTAAGCCCCAGCAGTGAAAAGATCCCACCTGGGAGTCCTCACTGTTTGCTCTGCTTCCCAGGCTGCAAGGGGCATGGTAGCATAAGGTTTTGCGTGCTATACCAACTCCCTGAGTTTAGTATTAGACCAACGTACTTTATCAGTTCTTCTAGCTATTGCCTAGAAGTTATGTGTGAGGCCCATGAGGTGTCTGCTCTGAGGAAGGAGGGGAACATGCAGCCCTTGGGCTTTTCTACAACAAGGCTAACAAGGACCTGCTGCTTCTTGCACGTTAGCATGGCTGCATTAGAGAACGGGAAAGAAAAATAATGTGGTTTGAACCTGAACTCCTGTAGCTGTGTCGTGGGGGAAAATAAATGTTTGTTTTTATTTTAAAAATTAAAAAGGAAGTGGAATTGATATCTTCCTGAGTGTTGGGGGGAAAAAAAAAGTTTGAAAATATAAAACAGCGTAATAAATGTGGAGAAGCCTGCCTAAACCATCAGGCAGCCTTAAGTAAAGCCAATGTGCTAGAGGCATAAACTACATCATATAGCCTCGGTACTGCCAAGACCTGCTCACTGCATTATTCACTGGGGCAGAAGCCAAGCGTCAGCCCCATATCCTGTGCTGAAGGGAGCCCCTGCCACACAACAAGGTGCTCGTTTGTCATGCGCTCAATTCGCAGGCACCCCACCTCGAGTGACCATCTTTTGCTTAAAGATACATTTTCCCCTTCGTGCTTTAGGCTGGGTGCCTGTGACAGGGGGATGAGTAGGCAAATGCAGCTCATCTCCTTTTCTGTGAAAGATTCGATGACCTGTTCTGGGCAGTTTTCCCCGTTCCTGGTCAAAACAGAGGCTTACCAGTATTTTAATTCCAGATCAATATACAAGTATTTGTTAAAACTTAGGCATGTGTGTAGCACTTCTCTTGTCCCTTACTGATGAAATAAGAACTATGGAGTTGTTTCTTACACTAGTAAGTGTTTCACATCCAGGCATCACATGATGGATAGCTTTATTAAATTATGCCACACTGTGCAGCTGCTGCCTCTGGGAAGAAGTATGGAACAAGACAATTAATGTCTCGCCTTTTAATTTTAATATGGCTGCTAAAATATGATCTTTGTTCTCACCATCAAGACCGGTGACAGGCTAGCCTCTGCCACCGGCAGATGACCAACCCGTTGAGGCAGTGGCTAGAGATCCCCCAGCTGCAAGGCAAGCTGCAGGCCTGAGCTGATCATGAACACCCATGAACTCCATCGTGTTCCAAGCCCCTTCAATGAAACCATCACCCTGGCCCCAGGGTGACATTTAAGGGTACCTTAAGTGATTATTCTTGTACACAGATCTTTGTATTTTGAGACACCATAACCCCTGATTTATAAATAATATTTAAGGCAAAAAGCTGGTTCTGTAAATAGGCATATACCTGATTAAGCTCATCTAATTCAATATGACTACTCAGTAGGAGTGAAATAAAACATGCGTAAGAAATTGTGTTGTCTAAAACTAAGCTAAGAACTTTGGAAATAAACATAAAGTTACCCCCATTTCAGACTTTTTTCTTCTTTACACTTTCCTAAGAACAGATTGTTATAAAATGCATTGATCTTGTCAGTCCATTAAAATATTTCACAACTTTCAAAAGGTTTTGAGACACAAAGATTTGAAACCCCACCTATTGATCATAACTGTCTTCCTAAATCCATATTCTTACAAGACCAAGAATAAAGAGTTTGTAGCACTCATCAGTAGGTTTGCTCTGAAACAGCTGATGCTACTTAAAATTGTGTTAATTAACACAGGTTCTCAAGGTCCTGTTTTAATGCAGCACAACACAACGGGGCAGATGAGCTCTGCCCACCTTAAACAACATCTCATTATTGTTCATGCTACTTGAATCTGTCACTAACATTAAGTCTCCATCTCACAGCTGCTTCTAAACCTAAGACCTGCTTGCATTCAAAGAGAGTTTCAGTTGTATTTTGGCACTGCATGTGCACAAAAGTGTGAGTAAGAACGACTGAGAACAAAGCAGCTCATCTCCCTCTGTTCAGCTCTAGAGGCCTGGCTGCGGCATGTTTGGGGTTTGGATCTGTCCTGCTTGCGTGAACTTAGGCGTAACGATCAGAATACATTCCAAAATGCAGGCTGCTGCCTGAATTACTGCGGCGCTCGGGTTGAATTAGCCACAGCAGCACAAGTACTGAACCGTATAGTTTTCTCCCTGCCCCTACATCTGTAGGATGTATTTACTCTCCAGTCCCTCCGGTCTACTGACCGGGAGGTGTGAACTGAGGTCAGCAACAGCCTGCATTAATGGGCCGAGCTGTAACCTGCAGCAGCTACACCACCACCACCAGGTATTTTAGTGTACTCGTCCTTGGTTAAATCCATGGGTGAGGAGTGTGTGTGATTTCTGATGGCCAGCCTGCTCAGCCCATCCAGCCGTCGCCTCAGCTGCGGAGGCGGGAGCGAGACGGCCCCAGAAAAGCACCACTTCACCCGTCACAGCCACATCAGCCCGTGCCCGCACATCTCAGAGCTGCGTGTGCGCATTCAGCAAAGCTCACCAAGCAGTATTTCACAAAAAAAAAAAAAAAAGAAAAGAAAAAAAAAGGCTGAGTTCTGCATTCCCACCCCTCATGTACCTCCAGCTACTCGCACAAACAAGGTGGTGCAGGATACTCTAGTCCTGTATTGGGGCACTGGGCAGAATTGTTTATTTTTTATTACTTTAATAATAAGCTCTGTAGAAATAGTGTGAGCAACATGTTAGTGGGGGCTGTAAACGGTACGGGTATTTAGGAGTGCTGGGAAAAGTGTTTTCTCAGTATTGTTTGAAGCTGGGGGCTGATGACAAGGGAGAGGTGTGAGTCATGCTGTCCTGTTCTTCTGATGCTCAAATGCCACAAGAAACAAGCCAACCCCCCCCCTCAGCTCCCTGAAAGTCTCAGCACGAACATGTGAGGACTCGCTGTTGTCTTCCCACAGTCACTGCGATCTCCCCATCAACTTCAGTTTGGATCTGTTTAGGATCCAGCGCAAGGCATTAGTTTTATTCCCGTTTTTCTCCACTATCACCCTGGACTTTACTTACAAGGTTGTTACAGTTGTGTTTACTTCCCAGTTTCAGAAGGTGTGTGGAGGTAACCCCAGCCGAAATGGAGGAACTGAAAGGTGTGAGGCCACGGCTGCGTCATTTGATATCCTGTCTCAACCTATGCAATCAGAGGAATAAATACGTGTCTGCTCCTTTTTCCTACATACACCTACTTAGGGAACATATACCCATTAAAGCTGAGCCAGACAGATATCAGTGCTTTAATTAGGCTTGTCCTTTTAAGTGCCCCGGGAAAATTATTATAAGAAATACCATACGATTGCCCAAGAACAAACGAGATATGCTTTTAAACACCCTTTATTACTAACATTGCATAAGCATTCCAACAATCAAATCTAACAGTTTGTTATCATAGTTGCAATCCCTTTGGCTTAGTAGCAGCAAGATGAATAGCATGTCATATCTGTTCTCAGCAAATCGCTGCCTGCCTTTGTAAACAAAACTGTCAAGACCGATTCTCCATACACATTTACAAATTATATGCATTGGTTATGTGTCTTGCGGCATATTTAGTATGCTGCCAGGGGAATGTTACCCTCACATCACTTTTATGTGTTACCAACTTCATAATATCGTCAAGAAACAGGTACCTCGGGAACTATGTCTTGAATTCACTAATGTCTCCTACAGACCCCTGATGAAAAAACTGCTTATTAT